GCGGGGGGGGTGCCACAGAGCTGGGGTGCGGGTCGCAGGGGGAGCTCAGAGTTGGGGGAGCAGGGTGCAGAAGCAGTCAGGGCGGAGGGGGAAGCAGAAGCCAGGCCCTCCCTTCGATTTTCACACCACTCACCCCTGTATATCCACACGTGTTCACCTGTACACACATTCACCAGTACACACTCATCCATACACACATTCATCCACACATGCACTCATCCGTACATGCACTCATCTGTACATGCATTCATCTGTACATGTACTCATCCGTACATGCATTCACCCATACATGCATTCACCCGTACATGCATTCACCCGTACATGCATTCACCCATACATGCATTCATCCGTACATGCATTCATCCGTACATGCACTCATCTGTACACGCATTCATCTGTACATGCACTCATCCGTACATGCATTCATCTGTACACACATTCATCTGTACATGCATTCATCCGTACACACATTCATCCACATATGCACTCATCCGTACATGCACTCATCTGTACACGCATTCATCTGTACATGCATTCATCCGTATCTGCATTCATCCATACCTGCATTCATCCGTACCTGCATTCATCCATACCTGCATTCATCTATACATGCATTCACCTGTACATGCATTCATCTGTACATGCATTTGCCCATACATGCATTCATCCATACAGCTTTGTAAGCTTGGATCTTTCTCTTGTCAAGATGGGAAAAAAGAATAAAAATTTAAATTTTCCAGTGTGGGTGCAGGTGCAGCACCTCACACCCGTCATCCTGGCTCCCGGGGGCCCGGAACGGGAGACGGCAATGCCAGGGTGGGCAGAGCGGTCTGCGGGGCGGTCTCCACAGAGGGAGAGCGATGGGGTGCTGTGGGCCTCAATCCCAGTGGCCAGGGATGAATCCCTAGTGCGTTGGGGCAGTAGGGATTTCATGTTGGAACCACCACACCCACCCTGTTCTTTGAGATAGGGTCTCACTATTTGCCTGGGCTGGCCTCCAAGTGTAACGCTCCAGATCTCTACCTTCCCAGTAGCTGGGATGATAGATGTGAGCTACTGCGCCCCACCCGAGACAGAGGACTCCTCTAGATGGGGAATCTAAGTCTTTTAGAGGTCAGTGAAGTTGTCAGTATCCATGGGCTGCCTCCAGTGTCAGCGTCTAACGCCAGCTTCTCTGCGTGCAGGTGCACAAGGCCAGGAAGCTCAATGGCAAACCCTCCGGGCCGCACTGGCCAGGGTCCAGGCTGGAGGCAGGGGAGGGAAGCCTTCATCTTCCTATCCCAGTATGGATAGGAAGCAGCTCGCTCTCGGGAGGGCGAGGGGGAGAGGCAAGGGCTTATCAGGGTCACTGCTTGCCAGGGCCAGGCCAGGCTGCAGGGAGGCGCGTCTCGAAGATGGCGGGGCCCAGACACATCCATCTCAGCCCCGGGATGAGCACCTGCTCCCGGCTTCCACGCCCAGGCAGATGGTGCCGTGATTTACACCTGTCTGGCTGAGCCGCCTGGGACAGCCATGTCCAGCCCTGTCCCTGTCCCCCTGACAGCACAGGGCCTGGTAAACAGGGCCTGACTAGGCCTGTTAGCATCTCGGGTAATTTCACCAAGCCTGAGGCCCGCCGCAGGCTGGTCTCACCTTTGGTGCACCCGAGCCTCGCTGCTTTGGTTTTTAGGTTCTCCGGAGATTAGGGTTTGGGTTGGAAAGTGTGGGTGTGGGCCTGCCTGAGCATGGGCTGGGTTGAGACTCCACCTGGATGATCAGCTCCACCCTGACGGAGCTTCGGTCTGCTGGACACACTTTGGGGGATGCACTTTAGAAGAGAAAGTCTTCACCATCCTCATTTCTCTATTCTCTAGGCATGACAAGGAGGTTGTACATATAGACTAGTAGGAGTGAGATGATGACAAATCATCCGTCCATCAGTCCAGTCACTGCCTACCTATGCATCTGTCCACCCAGCCACATATCCATCCATCCATCATCCATCTACCTATCCATCCATCCATCTACCCATCCATCCACCCATCCATCTATCCACCCATCAACCCATTCATTACCCACCAACTCATCTGTCTACTCATCCACCCACCTATTCATCCATCCATCCATCCATCCACCTACCCATCCATTACCCATCTACTCATCTCCCATCCATCCATCCATCCACCTATCCACCTATCCATTACCCACCTACTCATCTGTCCACCCATCCACCTATCCACCTATCCATCCACCTATCCATCCATCCATCCATCCATCCATCCATCCACCCACCCATCCACCTATCTATCCATCCATCTACCTATCCATCTATCCACCCACCCACCCATTCCATTACCCACCAACTCATCTGTCTACCCATCCATCCACCTATTCATTCATCCATCCATCCATCTACCCACCCACCCACCCATCCATTACCCACCTACTCATCTGTCCACCCATCTATCCATCCACCTATCCATCTATCCACCTACCCACCCATTCACTTCCCACCAATTCATCTGTCCACCCACCCATCCATCCATCCATCCATCCACCCACCTACCCATCCATTACCCACCTACTCATCTGTCTATCCATCCATCCACCTATCCATCCATCTTCCTATCCATCTATCCACCCATTCATTACCCACTAACTTATCTGTCTACCCAGACATCCACCTATCCATCTATCCATCCATCCATCCATCCACACACCCATCCATTAACTACTCATCTGTCCACCAGCCATCCACCTATTCATTACCAACCTACTCATCTGTCCACCCAGCCATCCACCAATCCAACCATCCACCCATCCATCCATCCACCTACCCACCCATTACCCACTTACTCATCTGTCCACCCATCCATCCACCCACCCATCCATTACCCACCTTCTGATCTGTCTACACATCCATTTACCTATCCATCCATCCACCCATCTATCCATCCACCCATCCATCCACTATGCACCTATTCATCCATCCATCTATCCATCCATCCTCCCATTCATCCTACCAACCCACCTACTCATCCATCCATCCTCCCATCCATCCTCCCATTCATCCTACCAACCCACCTACTCATCCATCCCTGCATCCATTCATCCTTCTACCCCTTACCCATTCATCCATCTATCAATATTCAGGTTTCCATTTTTAGGACTGTAAGATAAACTCCCGCTCAGGCCAAAGCCTTCTGCACCTGGACGCAGGGCCCTGACCGGGACCTGGGACCAGCAGGTCAGGGGGGGAGGGGAGGGTCCGTGGAGGCCCTGTGCTGGGCAGAGGTTACTGCAGAGCGGCCAGGCCTTTAGCTTGCTTTTGCTCTTCAGCATTCAGGAAGGATCAGGGAAGGCGCAGTTATCTCTGCCTTATTCCCAAGCCTCTCGGGGAGGGCAGGGAGGGTGAAGCCAGGCTGCCAAGGACAGACACTGGGAGCCAGGCCTGGGGGCGGACGTGCACTGTGAAAGGCGCACCTGCTGTGAGCCAGCTGCTTCCTGATCACTCTGCTCCAAAACAACCGCAGGAGTTCATTATCCTCACTTTTGAAGAAAGGGATACTGAGGCAAGGGAGGTAGGAGGTGGTGGGGATGGCCCAGAGGGTGGCAGCCGCAGCGTGGAGTGTGGGGTACTGGTGTCCACCAGCCGCGCCTGCCCTCAGAGATGTGCAAGCCCAGGAAAGACGCCGGAGTGGAAGTGCAAATGAAATGCCAGCCTCCAGAGGGGACCGTGACCAAGAAGAGAGATCTCAGCCGGGCTCACGCCGGTGATCCTAGCTACTCAGGAAGCAGAGCTCTGAGGATCACAGCTCCCAGCCAGCCCAGGCAGGAAAGCCCAAAGTCATGGAGACCCTCATCTCCAGTTAACCATCATAAAAGCAGGAAGTGGCGTGGCCCACGTAGTACAGTGTCCGTGCAAAAAGCTGAAGGACCGGGCCAGGGAGCATGGGCCTCTGGCAGGTCTCCGGGGCCTCCCAGAACTCTGGAACCCGGGGCCTCCAGCCCTGGGCAGCTCTCGGGGCTGTCCACCCCCCCAGCCTGCACTCACATGGACTCCAGCAACCGCATGTACTGCTCATCGCCCCGGCCGCCCTCCACCTCGTGGTCCAGCTTCAGGATGATCTCGTTTTCGAACTGCGGAGGGAGATGGGCGGACAGGAGCGTTACAAGGCCAGCCAACGTGTGGAGAGCAGCCCCCCCCACCCCCCATGTGTAGTGCAGGCCTCTCAGGGGTCCCAGAGGGCCCAGAGGAGAGAGAGAAGGGAGAGAAGGGCTTGCTTTCCATGGCTGGGGAGAAGTAGGAAAGGGAAGGGAATTCCAATGACATGCAAAGGCCCCGGGGCGGGTAGCAGGGGGCATCTTCAGTCAAGGGCCTGATATCGTGAGGAGCCATCAGTCACCCCAGTGTGTCTCTCTCCATCCCCTGGAGGCCACGCCGACCCTCATCCTTCAGCCATGTCACACGGGCCGAGGACACGTGGGAGGCTCCGAGTGTGGCACCCCTCCCCCACCTCCCAGACCTCGGGTCTGGGTGCTGTGCAGGCGCTGGGGCCGGGCGGCCTGCCTGCCCGTCCCTCCTCGCCCTGGCCCGTCCAGCCACGACGTCACCTCCCTATCATGGACACTTTCCGGCCCAGGCTGTGGTGGGAGGGTCTGTCACAGAACTCCGCTGCGGGGGACGGGCGGCTCTGGCCCCTGGGCGGTGGCGTGCACACGTGCGTGTGTCTGTGTGCGTGTATGTGTGTGTGCCTGTGTACATGTGCGTGTGGAGGGGTTCAGCACCCACAGTGAGTTGTTACAAGGGGCAGGGCCCCCCAGGAAGCATAGAGTGTGAGTGGGCCCACAGAACCTTCTGGAAGGCCGCTCGGGGGAGGGGAGCTGAGCTTGGGGGGGGGGCTCCCCGGGACGGGCTGGCACAGGATAGGAGCCGGCGTGTCTCTAGGGGTGGAGGGGTGGGAAGTGAGTGTTTGTCTGGGGTCACAAAGCAGCCGGGAGGGAAATTGCAGGGTGCCACAGAAGACCAGAGCCGAGGCCAAGCCAGGCTCAGGAGGAGAGCCAGCATCGCTGCTGAGCGCGGCCCAAAGGGGCGTGGGGCTGGGGGCTGGGGGCTGGGGGCTGGCCGTGACCATGGGGGGGCTGGGGACTGGCGGTGACCATGGTGG